TCATAGACAGGGGGAAAATAAGGGGACCGAATTGCCCGGAACACCCGTTCAGACTGCCTTGGTTAGCTAATTGGGCTGTCACGTGATGAACGAACGACTCAAACCCGAAAACTTGTCAGATAAGAGGTGAGGTGAGCGAATCATAGACTAAAGACCCAGGTAAACGATTAATTAATATTTTCTGTTTCTTATAGCATTATAGTTTTGTCTTGTTTGCAGTGTGATCAACATTTGTGTAAGCAGTAAATGTGTTAGGGAGGTAACAGGTAACATTTTAATTATATTTTGCTGAAATGAACGAAATGACTCGAAAAAAGATTCGTTAATTTTGCTGAACGAGACTCAAAGGTCCGAGTCGGTAAAATGATCCGAACTTCCCATCACACAAAAGCTCTGGGTCAATGATCCGAGACATATTGTATACGACCTGGTGGCATAACCTGACATCTGATTGGCCCTCCGGGTATCCTCCCCGATATTAATTGGTTCTCAGCGACGTCAATCGTAGATTGCGGAACTTTCACGTGCGAGGTACGTGTAACTCAAAGAGTTCACAAAATGTCATGAATTTACAGAAATTCTACCGTTTTCATATATGTAGCTTTGATGACTACATATATAAATGTGGCTTCGTTAAAAATAATATGCTAACAGGTAGCTTGTAGGAAAAAACGTTCAATCTACTTCCCATCGGGCAAACCCTGCCAAGATTCACGGAAACTTGTTGCTTTTAGCTCCCTATTATTGTCACTTCATTTTTTCTTTCCGTGTAAGATCACAGAAACACATCTGAATAGTTTTTGAAGTTTGTGTGGTGTGTTGTGATATGACGTAATGGAAAGTTCTTTTTAAGGTAGCCCGGCTAGCTCAGTCGGTAGAGCATGAGACTCTTAATCTCAGGGTCGTGGGTTCGAGCCCCACGTTGGGCGACTCTGTTTTGCAAGTTACGAGTCTGGTTCAAAAAAAAAAGTAATCACTGTTGAACGCTTGAGCAAGGCCCTTAACAACAAAAACCGTTCCAGCACTGTACAAACATCACCTGTTTATTACTGTCATCATAGCATTGGTATATGTGTAAACTGAAGGATTCCTATGTATCCATCATTGTTTGTGTAATATGGACAGGAGTCCCATAAAAAATAATAAATCTGTAAAAGAATACAGAAATAAATAAGAAAGTGAAATAAATACAAATAAGCACAGTCGAGTTAAAAAGATACTAAAATTCTAATTCATTGAATTTTATCGAGACAACATTTTTTAATGTTTTTTTAATTGGTTGTTTGATACTCTGTAAACAATGGCATACATTTGCAGACATGAGTCAAAAGTGTTAAAGTTTGCACATTCTGGGTCAAAGCATCAGAAAGGACGGCTTTCTCTCAGTTGTATTTCAAAGGGAAGCCAAGGAGGTCTAACCTTAACTGGTGTGACGACACACACGGCTAAAGGTTTTTTAACTCTACTGTGCTTATTTGTATTTTCCCTCTCATCACCCTCATCAACGAAGACACGTTTGCTAGTATTGAGCATCAAAATGCTGTGAAATGCTTAGTTAGTTGCTGGTTGCAGAGCATGGATAACAGTAAATGCCTTCTTTAAATTCTCTAGCCTTGCTGGCTGTCATGGATGTGGGGACCATGACCGTATACCTCCCTCTCTCTGCATTATTTAACTTATGATGCTCTTCCTGTTCCTGAATGTTGATGTCTTTAGCAGTAGACTATGAAGTTATTTGTTATGGGATGTCCATTCAGAAATCTTTCTTTTATGACCTCTCTAGGCGACTGTAGAGCTGATCAGCCGGGTGATAATCAGTTGTGTTTATGGTTCAGTCTTTTGGGAAGTCAGTGCTCCTCCTGTTTTACGGGATCCCGACAGCCTCCACATCAGACTCTGTGGCTGGGGGTGGGGGTGGGGTGATTTTCCTGTCATTGTTGATGTCTTACGGAGAATGAAGTTCCCCCAATGACCTGACCTCAGAGTTGGTGCCAGAGAACTTCCGCTCCACTGGTTCCGTTTCCTCCTTGATGCTCTTCAGAACCTTTGCCATTCCTTTAAGAAGAAGCAGCACTGTGTGAGTCACATGCATGTCTTCGACTTCCAGGCGTCTGGCGCCAGGCCCTTGGCCATCTTGCACACCTGATATGATCTGGTGGAGCACAAGGCAACTGTAAAGCTTAGCTCAGATTTCAGAATGATGATGATGATGATGATGATGAAGGCAGCTTTCTTTAGGTATCTATCACTGTCGTAGGAGTCCCTGTCATATGACTTCTCCATCAGGTCAAAATATAATTTAGGGAAAATAAAAATATTACTTACATAGATAAAAGTAACAGAAGCTTCTAGAATTCTGTAATGTTCTCGGCCATCTTTTTTTGAGTTAATGGCCTGTTCACATACGCGTAGTAAGGAAACTTTGTAGCAGGGTTACATGGTCCAGGGCTGCAGAAATAACAATGCTTCAAAGAAATTGCTTAAATTTGATTAAAAAGACAAAAAAAGAAGTCAAAATGTATCCACCATTCAACTGTAACTCTTACCAAACAATAAACAGAGAGTTTATGGAAGATTTACATTTAAAAAATCTTTTCTCTTTATGTTGATCCTAGATCAGATATTCACTGAGTTCTAAATGTAGTATGCTAAATTATAGCACTTAATTTTGACAAATGCAGAGGTGAATTGCTATGACATTATAAATAAATTAACTTTAGGATATGCTGGCAGACCCACATCTGGGGGTCAGGCCTAAGGAACGGTTCTTTTATTAGATTAGCAAAAGCATTGAATATTGTTTTACTTATTATTATTAGTGCTGGGGCAGGAAGGTAAGGTGTCCCCTGAAGTGTTGAGTGCCCACTACCAGAGAGGAAACAGCAGAGATAACACTGCTGCAGCTCTCTAATCTGTTAGTCAGCAGGGAAACATCTGTCTTTTCAGATGCTTCCTGAAGTATTACTGACCAGACCGAATCATGGCCAGTTTGTTCCTGAAAAAAACACTTATATGGCAGTCCAGGCTCTACCAGCCTGTGGGCTCTATATCAAAATATCATAGGAGCCTGAACAATAAATTAATAGACAACTGAGCCTAGATGGACAAGCCAGACTGAGAGGCAGGGATCCGGAGGGGTCCATCCTTAGTGCTAAGACGTGCTGGTTGGTGTCTTTAAATTGCCCTTAGAGTTATTGCTAACTCTATGTTAACCCCGTCACTCAGACCAGGATAAGTAATTATGGATGGATTTACTTCAGCTTCATTTCTTCAGAAAAACCTTGTAAAACCTCTCATAATAGGGCGTTACGGCAGGTCAAAGGCCCACCAACCTTCAAAACATTCAACATCCTGCGATTCCCAAGAACACTTCAATATATCGGGAATTCTTCCAGATATTTCACATGAAATAACCGGAACATAACTGTGCTTCTCACCTTGGCCTGTGGGAAACACAGGAAATCAAAAATAATCCTTGCCATGGAGTGAACTTTACACATTATATTTAAAGGAGGATAGGGTGGCTGGCCTTGGTTTCAAGGCCAGGTCCTGCCTCTGAGCATGTGTGTGTGGAAGTATGTGCATCTGAACATTCTCCCTGATTTGGATCACAGCAAGTGCTGAAAGGGTCGTAAAGCAGAGTTGGAAATGTAAGCATTTCGAAACCAGCAAGCTCCTATGGTGATCTGCGATCAGATTTCCCAGCCTCAATTAACCTATAAAGAATTAACCTATAAACAGATTTTGGGTCTGCAGCTGCTTAGCGTGAACACTCAACCAATCCAAGAAGCCAAACTGCAGGTGCTTAATTAAAATTCACTGGCACTTCCAATCAGATTTGTGCGGTAGGCATTAATGGGAATGTGCCTTAGAAAATGGAAAATCTTATGCTGATTTCTTTTTTCCTGTGACAAATGTGCAGAGTGCACTGCATGTTTGATCACAGCATTAATTTAAACCCATACTTGCTATAGGGTTATAATTGCGCTGTCAGTGTAAAAATTGGATCGCGGTGCAAAAAATACCTGAGAACCGCTGGTTTAGAAGTATGCTCTTGGTAATACAGCTTCATAATTGCCTTTTATCTATTTCCCAGTTTTCCTCATAGTGCTATACTATATTACTGATTTTGGAAGATAGATGGAAATTGACAGAAAAACTAAACCGCAAAAAAATGTTTGCACACTTGAATCATCTATGTGCAGTACTGTGCAAAAGTCTTGGGCTGTCAAAGAAAATGATGTTCAGATGATCTTCATGTTGGTGTAGAACTTTAATATTATGTCTGTCAAAGTGGGCCAGCTTAGTCCCTTCAGAACCTCTCCTAAAGTCACCACAGGATTTGCAGCAACCATCTAATGCTCCCATGTATTTTCGACTTGACCACTAACACACTTTCTGTGGGTAATCAATACCTCATTGACTTTTGTTAACTAATTAAATTAATGAATTAAGTGAGCTGGTGATGAAATTTAATAAATTCATGGAATGGCTGAGGTGCCTCTGAGGAGAGGTTTGGGAACTGCAGCGGTGTTCATCTAGACATTCAACAAGATATCAGTAACTTTTTGGAGAGCAGAAGAAATTCTGGTTAGTTTTTATTGTGTTACTTTTAATTTGCATATGTTCCAGTGTTAAATTGTGGGCAAATATACAGCCACTACCCAGATAAATTGCACAAAACATTTTCTTTCATGGCCCAAGATTTTTTGCACAGTACAGTATTCATGCAGGCTGTTGTCTTTAACCTTTAGCCGTGTGTGTCGTCACACCAGTTAAGGTTAGGCCTCCTTGGCTTCCCTTTGAAATACAACTGAGAGAAAGCCGTCCTTTCTGATGCTTTGACCCAGAATGTGCAAACTTTAACACTGTGACTCATGTCTGCAAACTAGCCTCAATGCCAGCATCTTGTACTTTGTGGGTTAGATGTATAAAGAAAGTGTCACCAGATTCAGCTTCTGTGACGGCAGCCGCCGCTGAGGTCTTCCTGGGTTTTGAAGAGCAGCATCTCCCCCTTGTGGCCAGAACTAATACACCATTAAAATACAGCTCGACTTCTGCAGTTTAAGCTCATTGATTCTCAATATAAAACATGTAGACATTATTCAGACATCTGACAATCTACCTTCTTCACTGGTGCCATTTCCACGTTAATTTGTCCTAGAGATGCACCGATTGTATCGGCCGACTATCGGTATTGGCCAGGACAGCAACAATCGGCCATCAGCCAATGGTTTAAGATGAGCAGATATTTACCGCCAATAATTCCCTTTAAAATGGTGGTCCATATTGCTTTGCCTACCTGTGTACTAAACAGTTAGAAAATTACGGAGTTTATCACACTTGATGATCAACCAGTCTCTGTTATAAATATATAAAACGTATACAGTTATAAAATATAATGCTCTGGGACTGTCGTATGCCAGCGTTGGTGTTTTCTTACCAAAAATAAAAACTTTTTATATTTTTGAAATGTAATGAATTTGGCTGGAGTGTCCATTTAAAGTTATTTAAGCAGAATCTCCCAAACAATTGGTATTGGTGTCAGTTTTTGAAATAATCAGCTTTCAGTATCGGCCACAAATTTCGTTACCAATGCAGCGCTAATTTGCAAAATTTTCCTATAAAGCGAGCAAAGACTTGGGGTCAGGGAACAGGACCAGTCAACATCCAGTGTCACTGGAGCAGTTGGGGTAAGGGCCTTACTCAAGAGCCCAACAGTGACACGATTACTTTGTCGGGATTTGAACCCACAACCTTCCAGACACAGAGCATTCAATGTGCCACCTGATATCACATACCAGGCTCTAAAATGCCTCATACCCAGTGTGCAGGTTAAATTTTAGGTGCAGCTTTAAATTCAGATCCAGCTCATGTTTGTTAGTCATATCAGTTGTTCAGGCTAATAGTAGTTAGGCTGCACTCTTTGATCAGGAAAAACCACCAAGACACAGATGCAAACGGAACACACGATTTCGATGCTGTCGTTTTATTCTCACAGAAATCTAACAGGCATTTTAGAAACTCCAGGCTGGTGACTCAGTTCTTGTTTTATCACTGAATAAAAAGTTTTAAAATTGCATTAATTTGTTGTTAAACTGGGTAATCGAAATAAACTATTTACAAAAAAAGGTTCTTTACACTTCTTTTAGGTTTATCTTAACAGTGTAGTTTTTAAGCCCTGATACAAAGGTTCACATTAGTAATTGTGCTTAGTACAAAATACTCAGGTCTTTCTGTCAATTACAGAGGTCCGGGAATATTTACAGAGAGCGGCTTCCTGTCATGTGACCTGGTGTGGGGCTTCCAGCATTTCCATGAGAAAGGTGTCGATGGGCGTGTCTCCAATGAGCTTGAAGAAGAAAAGATGCTCCAGACACTTCAGGCCGATGGAGCGGAGGGCGGGCAGGCGTAGTAACAGCTTGGCAAATCTAGGACAGGAAGTGGCGAGTATCGCAGGGGCAGAAGGGGTGACCGAAGAGACTGTTAAGTAATTTGTGCAGCGTGATCTGGTGGAAAACTTCTGGGACGGTAGCAAACATTCAGTGTAAAGGTTGGTTTGCAGCTAGGGTGACCACCTAATCTATGGGGGACACTATGAGCTACGACAGGGTTTGTAAACTACCATTTCAATTAAAAGGACCCAGATTTCACTTAAGCGCAGAGCTCTTGCTGCATGCTGATTGGTCAGTCTCCTATAATCATGCATATGTTACTAATGTTAATGTGAAACAGCTGGAGTCTTTCAGTCAAGAAAACAAACCAGGCAAAGCATAAGAAGAACTGAACTAATCAGCCAAGTCCAGTGGCCTGTACTACGAAGCAGGGTTACTGGCTTATCGGGGTAACTTGTCGGATTTAAGGTAGTCTGGGCCAAATGCAAGTGAACGAATATGAAGTCCATGTAAACTGTGGTACCTTAAATTACCCCCATAAGCCAGTAACCCCACTTCATAGTACAGGCCACTGGAGTCTTTGTTTTAAAGCAGTTTGTAAAACCTGAAGTAGCTCATAGTGTCCCTCCTGACATGGATTAGGTCACCCTATTTGCAGCAATGGAATGGCTGTGGACACTGGTTTCAGGAATTTTCTACTGCCCCCTACTGGGCATCCAGAAAATTCTCATCAATGTGAGAACAGTCAATACTATAGTGTTTAGCTTCTCTTAGAGATGTGGCTTCATTAACACGTCCCTTCAAACTGTGAGATTTCTGTTGAGCTGTACTGGACATGTGAACAACAGCCCCAAGTGGATAACATGGTCTCACCTGCCAGGCTGCTCCGGGTACCGCTGCTTGGTGTAGGACTCCAAGGATGCATAGACCTTCTCCCTCAGGGCCTCCACCTCGGCTGGGTTCGACAAACCCTTGGCATCTGCGTGCACCAGAACTTCAGTACCACGGCTCCCATGAGCTCACATCTCATTGGCTAAAAGCAGTAAGGTTGGGGGGGGGGGGGGGGTTACTGACCTGGGTTGAAGAGCACTATGGCACGCAGGCAGCCCAGCTCTGTCTTGTCCATCTGCATGTCCTTCATCTTAGACACCAGCTCTGTCAGCACCCTACATCAACAAACGACTGGTCAGTGAAGCAGTTGGCATGACAACCACTGCATTATCGACCTATAAAAAAATGAGGGGAGTGATGGGTGTCTGACCGGTCGAAGATGGAGCCCACGCCGGCACTGTGTGCGCTGCTGCGGTGCACGTGCAGCCCGGTGGCCAGCAGAATGCCGTCTTTGACCGTCACGGAGCGGTGCGAGAAGGAGGCTATGAGCAGCTCGTTCCACCCTGAAGCAACACGGGAGGAAATGGAGGAATGTTAGCCAGGTGGGCGCCACGAGGGGGCCAGGCAGGGCCCTCAAACCAGTGCAATTCCCAGACCACAACTTTTACCGACCCCACTCAGTAGACATTCGTGCCCCCCAGTGAAACTCTTGGGTTGCTCAGGAGCCCAACAGTGAAATTATTACTCTAGGCTTTGAGCCTACAACCTTCCAGACACAGACACAGAGTCCAAGACCAGTGCACCACCCACTACCATATACCAGGCTCTACAGTGCCTTGTATCTCATATTTTCTTTCTGCCAAACTCCAAGTGCCAAACTCGAACTATGCAAGAGTTCACTGGCATGTACCTGCTCGTAGCAGGATGACCTGGTCGTCCAGGGGCAGCTCCGAGAAGTGAGGGATACGCTTCGCCCACTCCACCAGGGTGAAGAGCTGTTTGTCTGCAGCTTGGCAGATGTTGGTGACGGGGTCATTAGTCTGACGGGGGGCGTGGGGGGGGCAGAACAAGGTGAGGTGTGGAAAATGAAAACCCTGGTGAAGTGCAAGAAGAATTGCATTGACTGTGTACAGGCGATGTGATGGTACTTTCTGGATATAGAGTTCTGGGCCTGTATATCTTTTGTTTTACATTATCTATTAATTTTTTACTTTTGGGTAACATTTGGGAGATACCAAAATGACCATTCACGGGGTGGAGGTAGGGTAGCAGTTGATTGCCAGGCCCAGAAGGTTCTATGGACGGTGGACGTTCTTACTGAGTTCCCTGGGCTGGCGTCCATGTAGGCTTCTGTTTTAGGCTCCACCGCCAGCTCAGCGTCCAGGATCTTCTCCACGGGCATGTCCTCATTGAAGCTGCTGGTGGATTCAACCTCGTTGTCGCTCCTCTCTTTGCTCCTCTGCCTCTCCTCTTGGACGGCTGAGAAAAGAGGCACCCAAGTCCTAATTCTCCCACTGCTTTCCTCCATTTACCCACATACACTCCATCATCTCCTCATTTACCCATTACCTCATTTACCCCTTCTATTCCCCAGGTAATTCTCAGTTTCCATTATTTACCTCTGTTTACCATGGTACTGGATTACATGCCAGTGGTTCTGTAAACATTGGAATTTACTTTCTTTCCTATTTCATTGTGTGAATGGGTAAGGAGACTATTTGCCTTATTGTGGTGGTTCTCAAACCTGTTCCTCCCCCCCAGAATGTTTTCATTCCAACCCTACCTTAATCAGGCTCAGATGGTCCTTAATAGGCTAATAAAGACAGTGGCAGATTGAAAGCAGTGTCGGTTGGAATGAAAACATTCTGAGGCACAGGAGGCAGGAACAGGACTGAGAACTATTGCCTTAGTGCATCATTAAGCTACTTGAGTTTAGCTCTCATTTTTACTAGATAAACCCACTGGTTACATGCTGAATTCAAATACAGTGGTACCTCGGTTCTCGAACTTAATCTGTTCCGGACTCCGGATCGAATCCTAAAAAGTTTGAGTTCTGATCGAATTTTCCCCATAAGAAATAATGGCCCCCCAAAATTACACCTAAATACGCTTTTTTTTTTAGCATTTAAACACAAAATGAACAGGATAAAACAAAAAGAGCATTTTTTTCTTAATGGCTTCCAAAACGATAAAGATCTTATCCCAACATTACCCCTGTCCGGCCCCGATCGTCCGCTCCACGCCCCCTCGATAACCTCGTGTGGGATCCCCATGTGATCAGCTGTTTCTGGTTGTTGTCATTAGTCCTCTGTATTAAGTCCGCTTGTAAATTTTGTTTCCCCAGTCCGGTCATTGGGTGCGTTCGACTTGCTTACAGTGCTGGCTTAATTAGAATTTAGTGATCAGTGGTCATTGTCAACACACCACAACACACAGTGCGCAACGAAATGTGTCCTCTGCATTTAACCCATATGTGACTTTCGTGACATAGCAGGGGGCAGCTAATTCAGCGCCTGGGGAGCAGTGCTTGGGGGCGGTACCTTGCTCAGGGTACCTCAGTGGTGCCTTGCTGGTCGGGGATTCGAACCTGCAATCTTTCAATTACAAGTGCACTTCCTTAACCATCAAGCCACCACTGCCCACCACCCACAACGCATTCTAATCCTGATGCAATGCATTACGGTTAGATGCATCGCGACCTCTCACCCGGCTGCACAAACTGGAACCGCTACTGTCACGGTAGCGGTTCCAGTTTGTGCAGCCGGGTGAGAGGTCGCAATGCATCTATTTCTGATTCCTTATACAGCAGTAATTGTTGCATTTAAAAAAAATACACTGACACACCATTGCCCTTATTGGCTGAAGAGTTTAGTTACACGCATGACGTTTGTATCCCAGGCAGTTCCGATGCGTAATCTGCTATTTCTCCTGAATATCACGTAAAGCAGTGAGAACTGGTTTTCAGTTAATTTACCTGGTAAAATAAAGTTTAAATAAATTACATAAACGTAAATTAGTGGTTTNAAATAAAGTTTAAATAAATTACATAAACGTAAATTAGTGGTTTATTTTTTGTTAGTTACTGTAATGTTGCGCTGCTTTATTTGGTTAATCGTCCAGTCTGTGAAGAAGGCATTCAAGTAAGAATTGCATTGTAGTATGACTCATTTCCTGGCGCATACGATTTATATTGGATCAGCGTTCACGGTTCGACTTATGATATTCAGATCGAGTTCTAGGTCAAACTGGTTTGTTCGACTTTCAGGAAATTCGAGTTCTAGTGAGTTCGAGAACCGAGGTACCACTGTATACTGATTCCTTATACAGCAGTAATTGTTGCATTTTAAAAAAATACACTGATTCCACTGATGAAGTGGGTAGTGTGGGCAGGTTTTTGGGATAACCTTTAGGTCAGCTGCTCAAGCCCAGGTGTGAGGACTCTTCAGCCAATCAGTCCTTGCCTAGTTTTGGAAATATTGGACCTCATTCACCAATATTTTCTTAAGAATTCTCTTAAATTTGTTCCTGCGAAATTTGTTAAGAACAACCTACGTCGGATTCATGACGTGTTCTTAAGTAGCAGAATTGTTCGCACCTTTGTTCTTAAGAATGATGAATCCCACGTCTTCGTAACTGAAAGCGCGTGCCAGTTTGTCCTAATTAGCATAGGGAAACACCATGCAATGTCCCATAAAAGGGCATGAGACTGTCGGGCCGTGTGCAAGGAATGGCGAAGAGGCGCGCAGGCTGTGAGCTGCTTGGCACTAAGAGGAAAAAAACTAAAGTAATGCTGAAGTAGAAGTATTAATACAGTAAAATCCCGATATAGTGGACTCGCTTATAACGGACAAACAATTTAGTCCCCAGCGCCGCTTTTAGCTGTGGTTTTGTTCGTCTATAACGGATATGCAGCTCCGCCGACAAGGCGCGTGTTGTGCCGGTGATATCCAGCGCAGATACGTAGTCGAGATTATTAATAGTCACGCATCTGCTGAGGTAAAGTTGGATTGCTTTACATGTACAATATAATAATTTATAATAATTTAATGGGGTGTGGCATGAGTAAATGGTGTCCTGTAGTTGTGTTGTGGGCATACAGCAACTCTGCATATAACGGACTTTGGATATAACCGACTGTTTTACCAGGTCCTTTGAAGTCCGTTATAACTGGATCTTACTGTATAGGAGGTAAATGCAAATAGACACATGTTATTTAGTAGCGTAACCAGTGGATATAAAGCCCCAAAGAAAGCTGATACATGGTAAGATATCACCTTCTCTGTGAACGCTGTTTGCCAAATAAATCTAAATGATCTTCAAACATGCGTTCTCTTCTCAGAGCACAATTGGCAAGCTCTTCAAGAAGTAACAGAAATGCGCAGAAACAGACCTATTTATAATCCGCATGATCGCCGTTACTACCATGAAAATAATTTTTACACTTTAAAATAATTTTTTATATTTTACTTTTATAAATTATTCAAATACTTTCATTTTATGAACTGTAGAATGAACAAAACAGCTATAACCGATTATTTTGAACAAACTATAATTACTCAAATGTGCGTACGAATGGTCTTGAGCGTGCGTAGATTCTGTTCTTAGCTAAGATCAAATTCAGATAAGAAAACATTGGTGAATGTCAGAATCTTCGTAAAAGTGCGTACATGGGGTTTAAGAACAAATTTGTTCGTAAGAACGGTTGGTGAATGAGGCCCATTGCTCCTAGAAATATCAGTCTTCTCTGAAATATAATGGAACTCAATGGCATTCTTTCTGTGATGATCAAAGCTCCAAAAATACATTTGACACAATTTAACAGCATTGTCTCTTACCAGAAATCATGGCCCAGTTACTCACGATAATCCACAGAACTTGTAGTGAGCAGTTTGATGTAGGAACTATTTCTGTTGCACCAAACTCTACACCCTAACCATACTACTGCTCAGAAGATAGGGCCAGGTAGGGCTGTTATTTGTATTTTGGGGTGAACTGCCCCTGTAGCTGCTCTATAATATCTGTAATTTTTTGTCTCCTTTGTTTCTAGATGGTTCTCACCCTCCCTCTTCATGCCCATGGCCAGACACTTCTGGTAGCGGCAGTACTGGCACCGGTTCCTCTGTCGCTTGTCGATCAGGCAGTCTTTGCTGTCCCGGCACGTGTAGGTGAGGTCCTTCCGGATGGTTCTCTTGAAGAAGCCTTTGCAGCCCTCGCAGCTGTACACGCCGTAGTGCTTCCCTGTCCGGGGCACAGCAGAGTGCTCAGAGGCTGCCTGCGGTCTGCATTTGGACGTTAACCCCAGAGTACCTTTAACCTCAGTCACCCTGCTGTCAGAATTGATCAAACCAAACCACTTCTACTTCATACTTCTGTCCATAGGTGATTCTACACAATATCAAGGGGCGCTTCAGCCATCCTAATTTTGTCTCATGTCCCCTAAAAAAACTTTACACTGTTCCATTCCATTCAGACTAGTGTGGTGCTGAGGTATCACCCACTGCATGGCTGCACTCGGGTTCTCATCCATGTAGTGGATGCGGCAACATGCCGTATCAGTGTGCGCTCCTTACCGCTCTCCTCTCCCCTGAAAAATTACTTAGATCTGTTACGCATTTCTTCACATCGATAATGGCAAGCCTACTGCCACAACATTCATTCAACTGACCCTAAGTGTCAAATCCTAGAACAGGGGTCTCCAGCTCTGGTCCTGGAGAGCTACCGTCCAGTAGGTTTTCTATCTTACCTGGCTTCTGATGAACCACACTAGTTCTCAGGTAAATACCAGGAACAGGTGTGGCTCATCAGAAGCCAAGTGGGACAGAAAACCTACTGGATAGTAGCTCTCCAGGACCAGAGTTGGAGACCCCTGTCCTACAGTCACCCACAGCTGGACCATTAGTGATACCCAAATGAAGCTTCATGATCCAATTGTTGCATTTTCTGATACCACTAGATGGTGTTCTCCATCCAAAAACAGGCTCAATTCATGCCCCAAAGCAAGCCAAGAGCGCCATCTAGTGGAGTCAAAAATACAGAAAGTAGTTAATGAAGCTTCATTTGGCCATCACTTCTGACCATCTGAAATACTGGGCCAGCAAAATTTATGGGAGCTGGATCTACCTACATTTTTGCTCCCGGTTGGCAAAATGTATTGCTGGGCAAAAGTAATCAGGAGACCACCCCACCCCGGCTCAGAAATAATCAGACTGATTTTTAATCCCAGTGCAGCCCTGCAATCACCCCTGTTTCTGTCCCATTTTATACGCAGTACTAACACAATTCCATAATCAGCAGGTGTTGTGTGTGTTGTAATGCACTACTCCCTATGTGAGACAAAAACAATCACTCGATAATGTGCAAAATGCTGTAAAAACAAGTAAGAGAATGACCCGGGGATAAAAGTCAAACTGAGGTTTTCCAGAATGTTCTAGATGCTGCTACTTGTTGTTCTCCTTCAGTCATTTATTGCTACAATTTAAGTTCACCCATTCCTGATCAGACTCTTACCTGATGAGCGATCCCCACATATTGCACATATGTGTTTGGACATGGAGCCGGGGCTGGTGCACTGGTACCCCCCTACACTGCCCATCCCCACAAGTCCGAGGGGGGGTTTGATGTCCTCTGTGCTGCTCACGTTGCTCAGCTGTGGACAGGGAGAAACTCGGGTGGATCGCTGAGACTGAGAAATTGTCACACTGAGGAGCATGTCGTCATCATTCAGAAGTTGTGGTCAATCCAAAAAGGAAAGGAGAGATTTAATGGTGCAGTGTGGCACAGACTGGCCTCTAAGGGAAGTACACCCACCACTACCTGTGACAGATTGTTCCCTGAATAGCTTACTGGAGCCAAGAACCTCATCCGTGAACTTTTTAAGTTCCATTCCCCAGCACTAGAGGGCAACAGATTCTCAGCTAATTCTTAATGGGCTTTTTAAGGAATACTCATCCAAGTTACAGTACTGGCAATTTCACATAAACCCTGGTGTAACTGCCTTTTAAAAAACTAATTTATCCTCAGATTTTTGTTCAATTGCTCAAATGTAAATCATTATATTATAGCCCTCTAATGTTGCAGGCAAATCCAGGCCAATGGCTGTTTTGAAAATTTCACAGAATTGAGTTCAATTTCCACATAGATCTCAGAATTCAGTAATAAATAACAACAACTATTATATTTTATTATACACAGAGGTGGAAAGTTCAGCTCCAGAAAGTACATATACAGACCAAGGTTTTGTTTCAACCAACCAGTCGAGACTAAAGAGTTACAGTCACTCAACTAACTGGTTGAAACAACATCTTGGTCTGGATTTTTACTTTCTGGACCTGAACTTTCCACCTCTGGTTATATATCAAACGAAAAAATCCGAAAGAAACATTACCCAAATAGAGACAGATGCACCAAAATGTGTTTTCTGTCCAGACGACTGTGTGTTTGGGCACTAAATCTAACCTTGCACAACACAGCAAACTGAAGACAGGCCAATGAACCCAGAAGGCCTCGAATTTCCATGTTTTAAAAATGATCACAGTTCCAAGTTACAGGGCACTTCTGAGTGGCATCGGCGACAGCCCAGCGTGAAAGACAACAGCTGAGCAATGACAGAAGAAATGAGTGTACAGAGATTTGCTAAAAGATCTTGTTTAAAGAGAAAACATTATTCAGTATCAAGGAGTGCAAGGCAATAATGTCACCCCCATTTAAGTGGGCGGGGGCACTGGCCAAATCCTTCATGCTTCAGCATGATAGAGTCAACTCCATCAGCATCCCCTGGGGGAGGGTAGCCAGTGATAACTGACCAATCAGCAGACTGGCTACGGTGAGGCAGTGCCACGCCCATGAGCATGACCCAATAAGAGTCCAAAACCAGAGTCAAGCCAGCAGTGGGAGGCATCTTCACCAGAACTAAGTGGCATTGTGCCAATCAGTTTAAATAGGCATGTGCCTACCTAATATTTTGTAAAAATGTAACATAAAAAATAATCATTCAGTCAAGCAATAAAATGCCTACACTGATTGTGAACAAAACGTGATTAAACTTGCAGTCAGGGTAATCTTGCCAATAAGCTTTCTCCGTCAGATTGCATCTCTTAATCCCCTCTCCCATCCTGCATCATTCCTGTCTTCTACCGATAACTTTACACGTCATCAACGAGTTGTCACCCCGTGACTTTCACGACTCACATCTGAGAGCCATTAAAGAAGGTTAGCTGGACATGTTACGATGTATAATAGTTAAAAAAATTTTCATGAACATTAATATCGGTGTATGTGTATTTTTTACGTCCTGTGTGTGGTCTTGGTTTACACCACGCCGCTGCCAGAACTGATGGCTTTTTGATAGAATGGGGCAGGAACAGCGCCCACCTGTGGACTGTTAAGTGCTCCGTAGTTGATCCCAGGCGTAGATGGCAAGGAGACCGAGGGGGAGCCAAGCGACGAGGTGATGACGGAATAGGGGGAGGCCAGCCCGTTTATGGGAGAACCCATGACACCCATAGGGGAGGGTAGGGGCCGTGCTGGGTTCAGGGAGGTGCTGATGACGGACGGGTGTCCCACCATGGAGCTCATCGGAGACTGGGTGGGGGGCGAGGTCATGTGATCCACACTCAGTGGCATGGAAGAATCTGGAAGGTGGGAATCTGTTATCAATCAATCAATCAATTAGAGCATCAGTACCTGGTCTACAGTCCTGAGAAAGTCCATCCACAAAGGCTAACAAATGGACCCGAAATGATCTTCATTTATGTTTTGTTTATTTAGCAAACACTTTCATCCAAAGCATCGTACAACTGAGAAAGCAGGGGCAGCCTGTTCCTAGAGCAGTTGGGGGGGTTAAGGGCCTTAGTCAGGGGCCCGACAGGGAAACCATTCTGCTGACTATGGGATTTGAACCAACAACCTTCTGATCACAGGCAGAGGTTTTCTGCCTCAAGGCAAAACATAAGTCTTAAAACAAAGTCAAGCAAATAAAGAGGCTTCAGACTGATCCTAACTAAGTGATCAAAAGATTGAGGTGTGGATGTGCATTGTGTTAAAAGACCCTATTAGCTATTTCCACCACTGAACTTCATAGATTCAGATAAGGAAACCCCTCATGTTAAGTCCTGACAGCTAAATTTGTTTCTGCCTATCTGGGGAATACAGGCCAACAATCTGACCTTTAGATGCCTGAACATGTGTAAGGCATCTGTCAGTCAGGAGGAAGCTGAGCCATTACTCCAGGTCAGAGACCTCTATCATGTTACACGCAGAGGACATTGGGCTCTCTCCCAGCCGTGAGTAACCCAAAGCACAAAACGCGTGGGGAAAGCCCTGTGATTCCAATGCAACGCTACAACGGGCACAGAGGCGGGTCACTGCTTCAGAACACCTGATGACAGCTTTTAATGTAACAGCTAATTGTAAGCCAACACCATTAAATGAGTGCTGAAAGGGAAAAGCAAAGGAAAATGGGACAAGGAAGTAGAAACAGAGGAGGAAATGGGAAGTGGAAGGAGGAAATGGGAAGTGGAAGGAGGAAAGGACTTGTTGGAAATCCATTCCAGTTCATCACAATATCTACATCATTTTGACCAATGTCAACTACACCACACACCCAAACACTACATTTTACTTATTCGATGCTTCAGGCTGAAGACAAATTCTGATGCACTAGAGGCTGCATCTGGGAATGTCCTCACTGCCCAAAAGACAGAGACCCAGTCTGTTTTTACTCAATATCCAGGCCAGAGGGTCCTTGTATCTATACATGCCGAAATCAAATAGAGGTTTACTATTTTGTTTTTTATACAAAATCAGAAGCCACTCTCCACATATCTGTAGACACAGAACTGGAATGTTGGCATATCCCCCACATTGCAATAAAAAAAATTTGATGTTGTGGGGACCATTTTTCAGGTCCCCACAAAGATCTGTGAATATAATCAAAAACTCAAAATAATCAAAAACTCAAAAGTTTTGCATTTTGTTTGGTTTACTTATGGTTAAGGTTTGGGCTGGGTAGGGGTTAAGGTCGTCATGTTGGGATTAAAGTTTTCCCCATAGAAATGAATGATGAGTCCCCAGAAAGATATGATTGTGTGTGTGTGTGTGTGTGTGTGTGTGTGTGTGTGTGCATAGCAGCTGGGGGATCTATGCTACTGGCAGCATATTACAGCAAAGTGCCCCCTATGGGTAGAACAAAACATTGCAGCAGGGAGTTTTCTGAAGATAATGCTGCTCCCATAGAGTACATGGACAGCCAGTCTAGGACAAGTAAAAACTGTACAAATAAATTTGTAGAAAAAAATCACTGACTTTCTGTTTCTATTGACTGAAAGTTTCGTCTATAGAACTATTTTGTGTGGGTTGTATTGGGGCCACAATTGCACAGTAGAGAAATTGGCACACTGAGTCGTCTCATTACCAGAGGACACAAACAAGGCCTCGAGAAGTAATCCCACTATTCTTCTTGTCAGAAGGAGACCCACTGGCTCACGGGCGACCTTTGAAGTCCTAACTGAAAGGTCAGAGCGTGAAGTACCTGTAAAATTCAAAAGCAATTACATTGGTATTAAGAGACTGTGGAAATGGGAAACCAGCCCCTCAAAGGGTTTTACAAGAAGAAAAAACCAAACTGGGATGGCAGCAGATGCTGGCAGCTGTATGCGACCCGTTAAGCCTGTGATGCGTCACTGGATTCAGAGAGAGGGGGAAGGAGCACACATTGATACACCCACCACATGACAATCGTGGGTACACATGACACCTCAGAGATGAGAACCCAACCGCATCTGTGTGGCAGGTGATACCTCAGCACAAAGCTAGTTTGAATGGAATGGAACAGCGCAAAGTTTTTTCCTGTGGCTGGAGTGCCAATCCTGCCACCAACCCCCAAATTTTCCCTGAAAGTTGAAGGACCTGCTTGCAGGGCTGGATGTAGATTAATATACCCAGGATGAAGCAACTACAGGTTAAGGGCCCAACAAAGTAGGATGGCTCCTGCCATTCACAGGATTCAAACCAGCAACCTTCCAATTGCTGGCACAGATCCCTAGCCTCAGAACCGCCACTTCAGAGGATTGGGGTCAATTACATTTTAAGTAGCAGCTGATATACCTTGTTGTTGTGTGCAAACTACAGAAAAATGCAAGTGTCTTCCGAAACAAATATATGTGACATGAAAGATGCGAATTACCTGGATTTCTACATTAATAGCTTTTAAAGTATGATCTAATGTTCACCTGAGACATAACAATTTAGACAGTCTTACACATACTAAACACATTTTCCAGGTCATGTTACATTTTACAGGTCATGTAAGGGCATATCTAGGGGACTGGGCTCATTCTAGGTCATTCTAAAATACTGAATTTCTTTTGTTAAAGCGAATCTGTTGTTGATCTTCTCCTATGTTTTGGATCATTGTCATGTTACATGACCCAGCCTTTTGGATTTTAAATCACAGACAGAAGGCCTGACATTCTGAATTAGAATTTAGTAGTAACTTGCATTTCATTGGTCCCACACAGCAAAGCAGTCCCACACCATTGCACATTGATTCACAGCTTGCATGAGCTTTTAGTCTTGGTATGTGGAGTTTTGTTTTCTCAAAACATAATGCTGTGTACACTTGCCAGAAAGTTCTTTTTTTCTCATATGTCCACAGAAAATCGTTCCAGTATTGCCGTGGAACATCCAGGTGGTCTTTAGCAAACTTGAGATGGGCAGCAGTCTTTTTATTTAACCTCACATGAATACCATTCTTGTTCAGTGCTTTTCTGATGAACTTATGACTGATGAACATAGACATTAACAAAGGCTTGAGATGCCTGCGGATCGTTAGTTATCACCCTAGCATTCTTTGTTGCTTGTTTGAGGACTCTGTGGTGTCCCTGCGACGCTTTTCCACAGGCATACAGGAACCAGGCTGTACCTGAGCTGTACCGCGATGAGACACTAGTTACAGCGCGGTTCCAGCTCGCTCCGATTTTCCCCTGCAGAGGGGTCAACTCTGTAAAGGCTTTGCCAGGTTGGGAGAGCGACAGTGACGTAAAACCAAACAGACGCTTATTTACTGGTCATGCGTTGTACGTCAGGATGTACTACGTGCTAATTTCCAATTCAGATGGTGGTGATGCAACCAGCTGGGTTTAGGCCCTGGTAGGAAGCAGGGCCGTGTCAGGGCCGCTGCAGCTCGATTCTTGGGGGCAGCGGCGATGCGCCATAAGAGAGAGTAGCCACAGTGATGCATTTCTTACGCCTGGACTGATGGAGACCCAAGTATTTTGAAGAACTTTTGTAACCCTTTCAAGTATTAAGAGGAGCTTCAGCGACACTTCTGAGGTCAAAATTTTGTGGCAGGGGGATCAAACCCATAGCTGAAGTCATTCCAACCTGATATCAATTTACTATTTTCAATAGGTCATTTCCCTAGAGGTTCACATGATATTAGACGATTTTAGCTATTTGTTCAAAAACGATACTGCACTGTAAAATGTTGTGCGTTTAATTGGTACTTTATTGATCCCCGTGGGGAAATTGTTTTTACGCCTCCCTCAACTTGCTCTTTGTAGAGCAAGCTGTCCGCGAAGGGCAGCCACCCGTAGCGGCGCCCAGGGAGCTGGGGATTGAGGGTCTTGCTCAAGGACCCGCAGACGTGCTGAGGCTGGGCTTGAACCGGCGACCTTGTGATTTCATTCAGGTGAAGTAAGACTATGGGTTTCATTCAGGTGAAGTAAGACTATGGGTTTCATTCAGGTGAAGGCCAGATAACATTGTAGGAGCCATGCAAGCTCAGGGAAACATTTGTTCATATCTGCTTCCTCTTCTCACACACCATCGGATGGGTAAGGTATATGGCGGAATGGTTAAACGTAGCGCTTGATTATACCAAAGAACAAGAAATATAATCTAAAACGAAAAAGAGCCACAGTGCAGGTTCATCGGCATTAAGTGAAATGTAACTCGGAGCCTCTCTTGCTCATGGTAACTCGAGAACTTTGCGAGTAGCGAGCAAAAAAAAAAAGAAAATCTGACATTGGCTCCCAAGCAGCTCTTGGGTCCCCCTTATGGGCCATTGTTTGCTGCTCTTTAGAGAGTCCGCTTCTTTGTAAACAAGGCTGATGTGTTATCAGTCATAGCACCAAGTACCAGCCCCCCCCACCCGGCCTGGTGAACTTCCCCAACCTGTTAGCTGGCCGACAGGACAGATGTCCAGCACAGGGAGGGGGGTGGAAGAAGGGGGGGAGCATTGTCCCCCGTGGGTACAACCACCTCCCTAAATTCAAACCTGATTAAACCTATACTCCCCCCCACCCTACCCCCAAACAAGCCGGGAACACGATATAACAGACCGCCTCTTTCTTTTTTCTTTGTGACAGCATAAATCCTCAGAGATATTTCTTTTTATATATTTTAAAGTAAAATCACATGTCTGCATCAAATGACGCGTCAGGCGGCTTGATGCAACAAGTAGCACTTCCTCATGGAAGGCCTATTTTTGTGTCACTGATAAACAGTCCCATCCTGAACGGGCAGACCGTCCACGTGGCTGAGGATTTAAAAAAAAACAAACACTCAAACGGAATTACTAGATAAATTTACAGCATTGTTCTGCATAATATAGCAACTCGTATTTACAATACTGAAACCATCATTATTTTTACAAGTAGTACTTACAATTATTATTATAAGAGCTTCACAACTATGTGCTGGAAAAGCTTCTGGAAAGTGGATGAATGGGTAACAATAAGAAGAATTAGTGTCATTCATCAAAGCATCATAAACAATCCACTTGTCCAGTACAAAGCAGGTATATTATCATTATTGTTAGCACTGATTGTCACGGTGGCACTTTCTCCAGTGTTGTGCACTATTCCCAGTAATTTGAAGACATGAAAATGACTCTGTGCTGAAAACAGATCTTAGCCCAAAAACAAGCGTTTCATCCGAACACCAAGTGCAGGCTGTCACCATCGCTTGGAGAAAAGACATGTCAGGCCACTGTGAGGAAACTGAAACATTTTTCACATTAAGGTCCCTTTCCAAAATCAGTCCAGACCTCAAATGACTCTATTCTGTGCCACTTCTCCCACCACAGAATGCGTTTCATTTTCTTTTCAGTCGAAACAGTAATTACTACTCCTTTGCACACTGATATGAATGTTTCAGCATTTTTGGCAGGAAAAGTATGTCTGAACCCATACGAAGGCGCTGAACAAAGAAAGAAAACAATGTTAAATAAGTTTCCCCAACTCGTTAAATGCCTGTTAAAAGTTAAATAGATTTGTAAAAAGTACGATGGAAAATACATTAGTTTAGGAGTCACATGACTGTGAAGAAGACCTGACATAGATAGAGATAAAAAGCTTCAGGTCGTAGATAAGGACAAATGCAAATAAAGACTGAGTTAAACATTGCAATCCACATGTTGTGAGGTGCCGGCCTTGGGAGACTCTTGATGCCGCTGTCAGGGACCAATCAATGTCTGTGGGAGCGATCAATGGGCAGGTCTGATTGGGTGTGTCAGGTGGGCTAGCTCCTCCCTCCCGTGGACACGAGGCACATGCAGACAGCCCAGTCCCTCACTGCAAAGCCATGTACTTATGGCAGTACGAGAGTGAGCAGGAGCCCCGTCACACATCCAGGCTGCTTATGCAGAGTATAGAAAATATTACTATCTTGTTATCCATTTAGAATAGAATAGTGATCATTCATTCTCTTTTCTTCTATCCCATCTTGCTCTCCACGAGACATCATACAAGTGTCACAGCACAGGGTCACCACCCCTGGACCAATTGGTGGTTAAGGACCTTGCTCAGGGGCCCAACACCACCATCACTCTGCCAGCCCTGGGGTTTGAACCAGCAACCTTCTGGTCACAGGCACCCAGCATTAACCTTCTAAGCCCCAGACCGTCCCCATTTTCCATTCACAGTTTTCTCACCAGAATACCTTTAACAGCCATAGAAAGACAACTCGCTGTCCACTGTAGAAGACGTCGCAGAACCCAAGCCATAACTCTGCTGCCTGTAACTTATCTTATTTACTACCTGCACTTACTAACTAGAAATACCCTCCTCAAGTGGCCTGGATGAGTGTTACCCTGCATCCAAGCGCTCACATTTGAGATCATTAACAGTTATCCTACCTGCCAGTTACAGTAAACATTACCAATGTGACCAACTTCATCCCCAAAACTTCCTTTTACGCTTTTGTGCAAAAAACAAAAAATCAGGAACCCCCATTATCCGACCGGCCTTCACAAACAAGTTTTTCCTATTTCAGGAAGCAGTCTGAAAGTGTATTGGACTCGGTAACCATGACAACCAAGGCTTGGGAATTAACCTACTAATTCACAAGCTAATTTACTAATGGAAAATTTTTAAATACAATTAAACAGAAAAACTTCTCTCGCCAGTAACTTGCCATTAATGACCAAGATTGATACATGCATTTAAAGTCACAGATAAATTATTTGAATGATAATTTGCCAAAATAAAGCAACCTATAATACATAATAAAACTATCTACTTTACTGGA